GTGTATATATATATATATATATATATATATATAGGCCTATATATATTATTAATTAATGATTTTTTTTAATTTAAATAAATACAATTTATTTATTTATTTATTTTTGAAATATCAACCTCAAATTTGGAACACAACTGTTTCTGTGCATTTATCATGATAATAATCTTAAACTTCTGTAACCATTTTTTTTTTTCTTCACTTTTTTGACTTTTCATTTCAGCAATAATCTTGAAATGTCTTCTTTAAAGAGAGACCCGACCGAACTTAAGTCTGTGTTTAAAAGCATTCAAGGTTCACCACAGCTTAAGTTTCAGGTCTGTGCTCAAAAAGTGGTTCACAGCTAATAAATGGATTATAATTATCGCATAAATATAATTTAGTAACATAACATCCCCTAACAATCATAAAAAATATCAAACTAAAATGCATTGATCTAACGAAGGCATTGGTGATGACTGAAGGTGTTCGGGTTCTAGTCTAGATCTCTGCACATGATGCTTTGTTCTTCAGAACAGATGGACTCGACCAGCGGCTCTATTAACAGAGTCTTATCTCACATTGTTTCAGCTGCGTCTGGAGCGAACGCTCGTCTGGACCTGTTAAACCGTCTCCGCCGGTTATCTGTTAGTAAACACTGATGTTAGATTCTCCATCATGTCAGAGCCATTACAAACATCAGTTCAGTCTCCATACATAACAACTTCTGTAACTTTGCAACACTGTTATTTTCCTCTTTATTAATGTGAAACAATCTGTCAAGCCACCTTTATTTCTTCAGCGCTTTATACAATACAGATCGTGTCAAAGCAGCTTTACAGTGTCAAACAAGAAAATAACGTTTCAGTAATGCAAACAAAAGAGAGGACAATAGTCAATATTTCAGTTAAAGTCAGTTCATTGTTTATTCAGTTCAATTTAATAACTGTGTGAAGTTCATCAATTATGGATCGAGTTCAATTCATCTATAAAGCAGCTCTGGAGAAAACAGTGATGTCATCATACAAGTCAATAATGTTATTGAGAAATATTACGTGTCCCCATCTAAGCAAGCCAAAACGTGATCTGTATTACATAAAACTTGACTTTAAAGGAATAGTTCACCCAACAATATCAGTTTTCTGAAAACATCCTCACCCTTAGGATCATCCGAGAT